TCCTACAGAGGCTACTCCCCAACCTAAGTGCATATGCAATGTTCATATACAACATTTAGTCATTCCAACTAAGAATATACATGCTTCATGTTGGAATCTACCATGCCATGCCATTAATGAAATGAGATTCACTCACGCACATCAACCCGAACCCTCACCTGCTCTCTCCACACTATGTAATGCAGGATTAAAACCCTTGTCATTGATGAAATACATCCAACGATCATCTTAGAAACAAAACTCAAATGTTCATAAAAACCAATTCATTTATGGATGTTTCCCATCAAATGAATCATTTGTATTATACCCAACACAAGTTTTTCATGTATGCAACCGTGCTACTGAGTAAGATATTCAACCCCACTTTCCCGAGTCCACCCATCAAATACCAATTATGGTGATTGATCCAACCATGCACTCACACACCCATACTCATGGCCATGGATGCATTTTTTCAGTGCAAATGTAATGTAATGCACAATTACTCAATCAATGTCATGCTCAATGTGATGAATGTCAATGAGCCAATTTAAACTACACATCTCAACATGTGCCATGACAATTTATATCACATGTGTAAAATCACAAAAATCCATTATCATGTCAATACATCAACATTTATATACCTAACACATATCTCAAGCATGACATTACGCAAACTCATGCCAACCACACTCAATCACAAGGCATAATGTTAAACATATAGCATGCCCATACAATCACTTTTCCATGAAATTACCAACCAAGTTATTTCCACATCACAATTGCAAGTTAGGAAACCTATTCTAACCCATTTACGTACTCCTTTTTCATACTCATTTCACCCATTTCATATGCATAAGTGAGTGACATACATATTCCCTTTAACCCATACATTTCCTATAACATTATAGGTAGGAAATGAACCAAAGTAGGAAAACCCCTACCTCTTGGAGCGTAAAAGAAAGGGAGGAACCTCAAGAACACTCCCAAGCCCCAAACCTTCAATTTCTCCAAAATTCTCTCTTTGGATCTTCGATGAAACCCTTCATTCTTGGTATGTACGTGTAGCCCTCGTCGCGTAGACTAACTTTAACTCTTGGTCCGAATGATTTCGACCGACAGAACTTCATAGATCGCAAGCAGAAAGGTAGAAATTTGATTTTTTTTTTCTCTCTTTCTCTCTTCCATTCTCTTCAGATATTTTATTCCCTATTTATACTTTTAATTTCGCGGTCCACATCACCCCGCTCGTTTCACTTTCGGGTCTGTTTTTAACTAGAAACGACTTAATTAAATTTTGATTTCAATTCAAATTAATTTTATTTGAACTTTTATTCAATTATAAGAAATTTTATAATTTTTATTTTTGGGGACCTTTAAAAGTTCATTCTTTACCCAATTGTCTTGAAAAACGTGTAAAATTTGACTATCTCATAATTCGACGAAATTGACGTGGTAACTCAATTTCACGATACGAATCCAACGGTGAAGTCTGATGCACCATCAGAGATCTATAGGAATATGCATTTTAATCCCGCATAATAGTGGCAAATTACTATTTTGCTCTTTGACGAAAAAAGTTCAATTTTTTCCGAGTTTTACATAGTCTTGATATTTTAGTGCTCTACAAGTAACAAACAAAATGATGCATCGATTGACAGTGACATACCTCAACACATGAAGATTCCATAAGTAGAGACGTAGTAAATCCAAGGAAAAGAGAATGATATTACATACGTTTAGGCAATTCTCTCTTTGGATGACAACATATTTGTATAGAAAGTTGTGAAGGATATGAAGAAAGCATAAATAAGCCACGAAATGGCTACTCAAATCAGAGCAATTTTAGTTTGTTTATATATTATATCTGTGTGTAACATGAATTTGATGGGTGAGGAAGATATGAATGGACGACCACAAAGATGGGGTTTTGGTTATTAGAATACAAAGAATAAGACATCATGCTTAATAACTAATATGTGAGAAGGAAGAATATGAAACACCTTTCTATTGATAGCTACATCTTCATTATAGTTGTAAATGAATACTCACTTCTAGAAAGGGAGTTTAGAAGTTAAATTAGAGAATATGATATGATTTTATTTATAGGACTTTAGGGTTATAATAAAAATTCAAAATTTTTTCCCTTAGGTGTCTTTATTAGTAATATAGATATAGGTATAGATATAGATATGAATCTAAGAAGAGTAGAATATTATACTAATTATTATGAGGTGCAAGATAGGTTGATATGGCCTTTCGTTTACTCTACGTCACATATGACAGAGTTAATAGCAACATGAAAATATTGGAAATACAGAGTTAATATAATATTTTTGACATTATAAGATTTATCAGAGTGATATATTTACACTAGCAAATACAATAATGCTCATTATGAAAACTTTAATGGTTCATTTGACATGATGAATGTCACAAATGTTTGGTATTCCAATTCCAATGGTGATCTTGGCATTTTCAAAATTTTGCAGGATAAAAGTGTCCAATAAATTTTTTTAATGTATTTTGACATTTTAGAGTAGTATAGATAAGATTATGAAAACTTTGTATGATTTCAAAATTCTTTGTTCTAACTATAAAAAAAAGAGTTAAAATTCTATTTTGTAGAATTTTGTGATTGATATTATTTTTTTAGTGATATTTGAGAAATAATTTTTTTTTTAAATTCATTTGATTAGGATTCCACTTATAATTACTTGAATAAAATAAAAGTAATTTTGAATATACTAATCACATTAGAACTTTACTATAATTAGGAATTAGTTAAATCAAATATGATAAGATTTAATATACTAATATATAATATATATATATTTTCAAGCATATTAAAATTCTAAAAAATTTAAGTTTTGCTTAAAAATACACTATAATATTTATTTTTATATAAAATCTTAGTACAATTTAGAAAAAACATAAATTTATATTAAAAAAATAATATATACTATTATTTTTTTATCTTAGAAATAAAAGAGTTAAACTTTTGATTAAAAAAAATAGACATATGCATAATGTTAATTTTGCATATGAGATGAGTAATATTAAATTGATGAAGTTTTTCAAGATTTTTTGTATACTTTATTGAAAATATAATTATGCATATTTTTTTAAGAGTAATATAGTCAATCAAATTTTTTTATAGAAACTTATATTTATACATAGATAATAGATAATTAAAAGAGATGTTATAGATAATTTGGAGATTTAAATACATAAGAATATGATGGTAATTTAGATATTTAATTGTGAAAGGATATAGTGGTCTTTGTATTTCTTTATAAGGGTAAATTAGATATTCAAAAAATTTTCATTTTAAAATACTTTTATTAGTAGTATAGATAGTGAATTGCAATAATTCTACTAGCTTTTTTGTTGCAGAAGATGCTAGCAATTTTTGTTTTCTTGAAAAGAAATGAAGAATGTTATTAATGTATCATAATAACGAGACATCAAAGTGGAGGGAAGGTAACAAGAAATGTGGAGCTTCTTCCCTCCAATAACACAAGTGAGCATAACTATAGGCATATTTTGCTAAATAGTTTGCAATAATTGTCAAATTTGTGAACCCAAGCCACAAAAACAACTACAATTTCTTTTTTCTGTAATCCTCAAAGATTCTAATTTTCGGTAGATGATCCTTTTTTTTATTTGGGGGAGGAAAAGGAGAAAAGGGGATTTGAAATCTTGACCTCAAGAAGACAAAGTCTTCACAAAATAAGGAGTACCATTAGACCAAAAATCACTTGTACCAAGTCACCTCCAATCTGGATTCTATCATAGCCCATTTCAGATGCGAAATTAACCACAATTGAGGCTGCCATTGCTTCAATGTGTGTTGATATTGTAGATGTTGATGGTGAAAAATGTTCACCGAGCTCTAGACGTCTTTGTGAGTTCAAATTGTGTTTTTGGCCACCCAAGAGGTTCCCTACAAATACAAGTTGGAGACCAGAGGCATTATGGGGGTCGATCCTCTGATGCTTAAGTTAGAGGGATAAATGAAGAGATATAAGTTTGTAACTAGATTTTGGTTTACTTACCTTGTTGATATCCATAAACTCCCTCTTTATAGGCAGTACAATTAGGCCGTTAGCAGATTCCCCTCCACTTATTTCAATTATCAAGGTTCTAATAATGTAGTGAAGATTGACTCCTTGTTGGAGTAAGAAACCTTAGCTAAGTTGAATTGGTCAGATTCGTGTGTGTATGGATCCCTTCTGAGCTACAAAGATGAGTTGCTCCTCTAGAGTTGGATAGCTCTAGCTTGTACTTATGGGCTGGCGAGCTGACAAGCTCAAAATTTAATGAACCCATGCCATGCTCATGCCAAAACCATCAGTATCAATTAGTGTGGCTTGATACGTGCTTTTCTATTTAATGCATTTGTCCGTTCATACATTGGGAGATAGAACGACGGATGTGCGGATGTAACCACAAAATATCTATTGTGGAGCTAGCTATTTAAATGCATCCTCTCCTTCGTATTTGATACTTCAAGAATTCAAGAATCCCTAATACTCCCTTCTTTCTCTGATTGTGATCATGAAATTGGAGTCACATTTTCCAATTTCATTTCTACTATTTTTGTTTTCTTCAGTGGAAGGGCCATTCTTTTGACTCCTTAGGGTTATTTGCAGATCAATCTAGAAGAGCCTGACTCGAGCTAGTTCCTGAATTGTGTCTTTCTTTGCTTAACCATGACTCAAGTTGTCTTCCCTCACCCTATTGTTACATCAATTATCGTAGCTTCACTCCCATGGGTAGTTACTTTAATCGGACTATCTCCGAAAGCATCCCCACTGTGGTGTCTAAAGCTAACAGGGCCAATGAGGACTTGGATTCAATACTAGAAATTCCTTCTTCCTCAATTAAGGTTGTGGAGGTTCGGCTTTTTCATAGCATCCTCGATGAGAGTGCCCTTGTCGAAATCAAGGCTATTTACCAAATTTTGGAGTCTGTTCATAGGTTTCCCTNAAATTCCTTCTTCCTCAATTAAGGTTATGGAGGTTCGACCTTTTCATAGCATCCTCGATGAGAGTGCCCTTGTCGAAATCAGGGCTATTTACCAAATTTTGGAGTCTGTTCATCTTAGGTTTCTTTCTCCGGACAAGACCATGAACTCTTATGGCCCTAAACAATGTGCCTTTATGAATCCATCCTTGAGGCTAGACTTCATTTCCTCATACCTAAGTCCATTAGGTAGATTCCTCAATATTTGAATCTTGCCCCTACACAGTTGACTCCCAATGGTTGGGGTTTCTTGGTTGGTATAGGAGTTCTTTGGGTAGAGCTAACGGTGTTGGTGTCCAACCCACCATCGCCGAACTCCTTCACTACTACAAGCTTACCACTTATGTGGGGCAAGACTTAGGGTGGTTCTATCTTTCCAAGCGAGAGAGGTGCGATCTCCTTACTAGGTATTCTTCCAATGTGAAAGAATGGAAGGATGAATTCTTTTTTGTGTCTGCGCCTGGTTTGGAAATGGACCATTCTAAAACCCTCACTAGTAAGCCTTTTCTAGTTCCTCGCTTTTGGGGGTTCCTTCTCTCTTTGCAAGTGTTGCACTTTTAGCTCTCCTTGGTTATTCTAGTTTTAGTTTTTCTAAGTTCCTACTTCTTGGTACAGGTAAAGCTGATCCATTAACCCTAAGCTGAAGAGATGAGTCGATGTCGCTATCACCTTTGGGACTCAGGATCTCAAAATTCTTGTGACAAGTCAGGCCCTATTTAAGTGTCAATTAGGCCTCGCTCCAGTGGACTCTAGTAGTCCCACTCCTTTAGGTGGAAATTTTTCTTGTTTGGTTCCTCAAACTGGTTTGACACTTTCTTACCCTATCCTTTAGTTTTTGGCAGTCATGGCTCCCCAACCTGTGGACAAGCAACTCCTAGCTAATCGTCAGGCCCAGAGAACTTCAGAGGGGGGCTTTCCTACTTATAAGAGGCCGAAATTCATATCTAGCAAGACTAGGAGCAAATCTTCTGGATCTCCATCTCTTCCTTCAACTCCTCCAATCGCCAAAGGGCACTTAGGAGAAAGGCATTAACCTGATGGACGTGTATAATTAGGAAAATGCCCTTCTAGATGTCTCTTGAGTTGATATGGATACTCCCCCTTCCCATTCCTAGAATAAGGGCAAGTGGAAAACTACTGAGACCACTAAAGAGGTGAGGAAAGTACTACCGACGCATACTAGAGGCTTTGGTACCCTTACCCCTAGCATGAGGAACAATATAGAGGAGGCCATGTTACAACTTTATGAGTTTATGCATGAAGAAAATCTGAAAGACACCTTTGACCTGCGACATGGCTGGGTGACCAAAAACCTGGNGGCCATGTTACAACTTTATGAGTTTATGCATGAAGAAAATCTGAAAGACACCTTTGACCTGCGACATGGCTGGGTAACCAAAAACCTAGCCTTAACTATTAGGAAGGCAAGCTGTAAATCTCATTCCTTACTCTTCCTTAAGATGCTTTGTCCCTATCTTACATTTATATTGACTCCACTTTTCCTCTAACCCAACTCACCATTTTGACCACCAACCTTTCCTACTCCTCCCTTGGTTAGAGAAAGAGCTTTGAAGAAAATATTGTCGATTTAGGTGCCAAACTTGATAAGAGGTCTAACAAGCTATTTTCAGAGTAGGGGAAATTTCTGGAAAAGATGAAAAGGCATGATAAAATGACAACTACCCTGCTTGAAGCGGAGTGGAAGATTGAGGAACTAAAGAAGAACAACAACCAGCTCGGCAAGATTTTGTTTACTTTTGAAGACGAGGTTGCCAAAATTTCAAAGAAGGTTATAGATCTTGGGGACGAGGTGACCGNAGAGTTTGTTTACTTTTGAAGACGAGGTTGCCAAAATTTCAAAGAAGGTTATAAATCTTGGGGACGAGGTGACTGATCTTTCTGGACAATTTGCCCAGCTCTCTACTGCCTTGAAGTCTGCCGGTGATACTGTTGTAAAGAAATTCCAAAACTTCAAGGAATTCAAAAAAGAGGTCCTAGATTGATGGTTTTGAAGAGTTGAGGACACATGCCTCCAAGGAGTACCCAGATGTGGACTTCTCCAAGTTTAAGCCTGTTGACACTCAAGCCTTTAATACTTGAGGGGGGACAAAGGAGAGGAGAACGGAGAAGATGTGAGTAGTAAGGCTATAGTCTCAATTTAAGAAGGTGTTGATACTGAGATAGATCTAGCTAAGGATGTTAATCCTTTAGCCACTGAAACTCTCGAAGCTACCACAAAAGTTGTTACTAAAGTTGCCTGGGATATTGGAGCTATGGACAGTGGTAAGGATCGAGAAGAAAGGACTAAGTGATTTGGGAGTTTTTTACCAGCTATTTTGTTGTAATAAAATTCCTTATATTGTAAATAGCTCCCTTTTGGAAACCTTCTAATACTTTATTGTAAATAATCTTATGTTGAGCCTTGTTCTTTGAACAAACCTCTCAGGTTCAATCCAAGCTAGGCGAGGTAGCTGAAGCTACTAATGAACCTCTAAGGTTTAATTTGAGCTAGGTGTTATGCCTTAAGCTTCTAATGAACCTCTCAGTTCAATTCGATCTAGGCGAGGTGGTTCTCTAATCATTTTGAGTGTACTAAAATGGTATGGATGCTCTTTCTATATGGCACTATAATTTTTCCGGTGTGGCTTAAAGTTGTGAGACTTTAAATTTTGCAAGTTGAAGAAAAACATGTTTATTAATTCTAGTTAAGAGGCTAGAGAAAAATCCTTATTAAAATCAAGGAAAAAGCATANAACATGTTTATTAATTCTAGTTAAGAGGCTAGAGAAAAATCCTTATTAAAATCAAGAAAAAAAAAAAATTACTGGTAGAACTTCTTCAAGTGTTTTGCATTCCAAAGGTGAGCTAGATTGACTCCCTCTAAGGTCTCCATGTGATAGGTTATAGGCCTTAAGATTTTCACTACTCGATATGGACATTCCCATGTTGCTCCCAATTTTCCTTCTTTGGGATGTTTGGTGGTTGGGATTACCTTCTTTAACATAAGGTCATTTGGCAGGAACTCCTGTGCCTTAACTCAAGAGTTATATTTCTTGGTCACCCTATTTTGATACGCTACCACCCTCATTCGGGATTCTTCCCATCTTTCTTCTAGCCAATCTAAGTTACAGGCTAGTTGTTGTCATTCTATGCAGGATCAAACTCCTTGGTTTAGTGAGTGGCCAACCCAATTTCCACTAGGACAATTGCTTCAGTGCCAAATGCCAAGACGAATGGAGTCTCCTCTGTAGGTGTCCTGACCGTGGTTCAAAGCCCATGAGATACTTGGGAGTGGTTCCACCCAAAGCCCTTTAGATTGTTCTATTCTAGTATAAATGCTCTTGAGCAAAGTCCAAATGGTTACCTCCACCTGCACATTCAATTGTGGGTGACCTAGAGAGGAATAATGATTATTTTTTCTGAGCTCAAAACATAATCTCCTAAACTTTTCATCGTTGAATTGTGTGCCATTATCACTGATGATGATTGCTAGGATGCCAAACTTGCAAACAATAGATTTCCACACAAATCCTTAGATTTTATGTTTAGTGATCATTTCTAATGGCTCTACCCCTGACCACTAGGCAAAATAATCTATGGCAACAACTATAAATTTGTTATGCCCCTTCCCCATTGGGAGGGGACCTACAATATCAATTCTCCATTGGGCAAATAGTCACGAGCTCACTATTTGGTAAAGCTCTACAAGGGGTAGCTTTGGCACTGCAGTAAACTTCTGACATTTCTCACACTTTTGTACGTTGCTTTGAACACCATTCCTCATTGTAGGCCAGAAATAGCCTTGCATAAGAATCTTTTGGGCCAGGGTATGTCCTCTCAGGTGATTTCCACACACTCCTTAATGCATCTCGTCCAACATGTACATTGCTTCGTTGGGCCTTAAGCACCTTAGGTACAAGAAAGAGTATCCCCTTTTGTAGAGCACGTAGTTGACAATTGTGTACCAAACCATCCTCTTTCGAATCTTCTTGGCTTCCTAGGTAACTTGTGGAAGAGTTTCGTGTTGTATGTATGTAAGTATCTCATCCAACCAACTCGACTCCTAAGAGATTGGTTGGATATCTACATTCTGAGTGCTTGGCCTTGAAAGGAATTCTATGGAAATGGTTCTAACCAAGTTATCAGAAAGAGCTAAGGCTAGGTGTGCTAGTGCACCTATATGAGATTCTATGGACGTGGCACCTGGGCGACCTTAAAGTGTTAAAAACTTGACACTATCTTCATCACAATACTTAAGTATGAGCTTATCTAGGGATCTAAGGCTTCATAATGTCCTTGCAATTGCTTTACTACTAGTTGTGAGTCACAATGTACTTTGAGGCGTTTTACTCCAAACGACCCAAAAAGTTGTAGTCCTTTAGTAAGGGCTTAGTATTCTGCTTTGTTGTTTGAGGCCTGAAATCTTAAGTGGAGAACATTCTCAATATTTTCATCAGTTGCGGAGATGAGATTTAACCTACCTCCTCCTCCAGATTGGAGGAGCCATCAATATACATCTGCCACTTTGACCGATGGAGGTCGGTTTCAACCAGCTCGACTACTTCTCCATTGAATTATGTTATTAGATTGGCTACCATTTGCTCCTTTATAGGGGTTCATGGTATGTACTGTATATCAAATTCTCTAAGTTTGACAAATCGCTTTTCTAGTCGCCCAGACACGTCAAGCTTCTAAAGGAATTGCTGCAAAAGGAATATAAATTATTAGCACAATTGTATGCTATTGAAAATAAGGTCTCAACTTCTTGGAGGTTGTAATTAGTGCAATGGCCACTTTTTTGATTATAGGGTACCTAGATTCTGCCCCCTCCGGGTTTGACTTACATAGTAAACTGGATGTTGAGCCTTATCTCACTGGCAAACTAGCACTACGCTAGTTGCTTCTGGTGACACTACAAGGTATAAGTACAATTGTTCCCCTTGTTCCATTCTGACTAGGACCGAGGGTTTACTGATATATGGCTAACCCTCAAAATTTATATTTTAATATCAATTAAAAGGTTCATGATTAGTTATGTATAAATTATGTGATAGTATAGGTTAGATTTAGTTACTAACATGAATTACAGGGTAAAAGAGCAATTTGGCAAAGTTTTAAGACAAAGGAAAATAGAGGAGTCGATTGGAAAGAAAAAAAGAAAAAGTTTCAAGAAGAAGGCAATTGTCCAGACGCCTATCTTAGTCAAAGATTCCCCGACAAACCACCTACAACGCCAAAAAAAGCTGACAAAAGTAGGAGAAAAGTTAGAAAAGTTGTTTGTTGACCACCGTCAAAATGCCCCCTACCATTATTTGAATGCCTCCTTTAGAGTGTAGATACAATAAAGTTTTCCAATTCTAGAGAGTTAGTGGTTTCCAAATGCCCCTACTAGCTTCCGAACACCCCTACTGAAAGTAGAATCTACTTTTGACTTCAAATTTTGGATTTCATGCAACCACTCCAAATTTTTAGCCTTTTTGCGGACCATTGTCGCCCATATTTATCCATAATACCCCTTAGTCCTTAGAATTAAAAAAAAAAAACACATATTGGATGGATTTCTCTCCCAAATCATTCTAGTCTTGTAGTTGTTTACATTTCTTGTCAAAGCTTTTGCTTTCATTATAAGTTTTCTTCTTCATTTGGAGGGATGAACTTCTCTCACATTTCTAGCTTCCTTGTAGCCATGAAGGGTGAGTAGTATTTCATTCATTCTTTAGTGAAGAAAGTAGCCTTGAATTTATCTTTTGTAATTCTAATTCTCTTTACTTAGAGGGATGAGATTTTCTCACTTTTCTAGCTCCCCTGTATCCATGAAAAGTGAGTAGTTTCTCACCCACTCTTTAGTGAGGGGTGATGAAATTTTAATGCATTGTTAGGGTAATATATTTGTGAAATTTCTATTATGCTTGAATGTTTCATTTATTATTTGAATGAATGAATGTATGTAGCAAAGCTAAGTACTTTGTATAATATTTTGATCACTTATAGACAAGTTAAGTCTTGGTATAGGTGATGCTTATGGTTCCTTGC